TGTGTGTAGGTGTATAGGGACAATGCGAAATTGATTAACAATGAATAAGATGGTGAATAAAGCCAAGGGCACCAACAGAACTGTTAACTTGGCAGATTGGCATTTCTGTCACTTCCACAGAAATGTCTGATGACTCATTTCTGAAATTAGTTGAGAGAGAGAGAGAGAGAGAGAGAGAGACAGACAGACAGACAGACAGACAGACAGACAGACAGACAGAGACAGAGAGAGCGAGCCCTATTTTCATTTATGGTAACAGTCAAGACAGAAGCAGCCAATTTTCATTCTCTGAATTTGCCTCTCATCAGTTTCCTTTCTGTAGAATAAGGTTCAGACAAAGCTGATCTTGTCAAAATCTGGCTGCAGACGCATGGTGACTACTTTCCCATGGCGTAGTCCCAGGTGACTGACCTGCTATGCTTACATCATTCACACTCAGTCCCCAGTTAGCTCTCACTGTGCCTGTACACATTAGCAGTTGCACGGATGTACAGTGGGACTGTACCCACCATTCCCTTCCCTATCCCCTAGGGATACATTCAAGGTTTTTGCAAAATAAATTTGACACATATAAAATGCATCTTACAGAGCTCCAGTTGTGCAATAAGACTCTCTGATCATGCACACAGAGCCTACATTTTCAGTCTGCAGGTATATAACATTTGTACAAATTATGCAAAAGACAGGCTGGTGGCATGCTCCTGTATCTCCTTCTGGACATGCTGTCAATAAGCACACAGTCCTCAATGTCTTTCCTAGAAATTTCTTTAATATCAACTACTTGCAGCCAGATCCTGTGCTTGTTTACTCATAAGTAAATTTCACGACATCCAATAGGACTCAGCGACAACCTACACATGATGTTGCGGAATCCATGATTTGACTCTAGTATGTAATAGTCACAAAAAGCAGCTGCATGGGGGGGGGATATGGACCAGGGCGAAGGCACTGTAGGAGGGATTGACTCTTCCCTCCCCCTTCAGTACCATTTCCTGAATCAACAAAGGTGTGCCAGGCTACTTTAAGCCCCAGGTGGGGAAAAGATAGGCACAATATGGCTATCTGAATATCTGTATGGGGATCTGGGGAGGGGGCATTTTAATTCAGGAAAATAGGGGAAGAATTAACCATCCCTTTACTAGGCCTGCTGTCCAATCCATATCACCCCTCCCCAAACTGCTGATTTTTGTGGTTAAATCCTGAATCACCAATCATAGATCCTAAACATCACAAGCAGTTTGGTTCTTAGTCCCACCTAAGTAACCGGAATCTGACTTTAAACATTTATCAGGATTGACATTTACAGTGCAATGTTTAAGTTTTGGGGGGTTTTAACTCACAAGACCAAGACCTGCTTAGCCGCACTGAGTTTTTGTAGCAAGTGCTCTCCAACCCTGGATAGAGGAAATCCCTTGCCAAAGCATGTCACGTAGCGGTGGTAAGTGCCATCAAGTCACACCTGATTTATGGTGACCATGTAGGGTTTTCAAGGCAAGAGACATTCAGAGGTGGTTTGCCATTGCCTGCCTCTGCATCACGACCCTGGTATTCCTTGGAGGTCACCCATCCAAATGCTAGCCAGGGCCAACCCTGCTTAGCTTCTGTGATCTGACAAGATCTGGCTACCTCCTGATGGCACCTGGGTTTTGGCCACTGTGTGACACAGTGTTGGACTGGATGGCCCATTGGCCTGATCCAACATGGCTTCTTTTATGTTCTTACCCTGGGCTATCCAGGTCAGGCCATGTCAAGTATTCCACTTTACAATTACTATTTTTTCATTGGTTCCACTTAATGGAGTGCTGGGAAATGATTTTTGTGCAGTGTGAATTCTGTCTGGCTAACCAGCTTTTTATAAAGTTTTACAGAAAAGGAAGGGATAATACGTACCTTGCAGGTAAACGTATTTGGCCTGAAATAGGGGCTTTCAGGAAGTCCTTTCATGAACACCCGGGTTTTTTTGGTACATTTCTTCACTCTTCTTACCCTCCTGGAGGCAAAGCCTGTGATTTCTTCTGCTATCCAGCATCATATTCTGTCTCTGTTTCTTAACCAAAGGACGCCACAGTAAGAGTGACAGGCATTGCCTTACCCTGTTTTGATATCACAGGGCCAAATATTGGCTGCAAGGCATTAACATGAAGCTAAAATAGCAAATGGGCAATGCTTCTTGTACCCCAACTGACAGCGTCTGTTTCAAAATGACATATAGACCAAGATTCTCCCCTGTTCAACCCTCCCCCCCCCCACGATCAGAAAATCACAAGGCCACAACATTCCCAGATTGCAAACCGAGTGATGAAATGGGGGGGGGCACCTTGACTCAATTCAAACAATAAATGAGCTAGATTTGGAAAGGGAATTGAAGGGGAACATATCCATCTGAGAAAAATTGTGTCTTAGGACCAAATGAGAGAGAGAAGAGATTGGATTCACTACCTGAAGGAGTCTCAGAGCAGTTTGCAATCCCTTCCCCTTCCCCTCCCCACAACAGTCACCCTGTGAGGTAGGTGGGGCAGAGAGAGAGAGCTCCTTCAAGAACTGCCCTTGAAAGAACAGATCTAAGAGAACTTGTGATCGACCCAAGGTTACATCAGCAACTGCATGTGGAAGAGTGGGCAATCAAACCCGGTTCTCCCAGATTAGAGTTCGCGCTCCTAACCACTACACCAAACTGGCTCTCAGTGGCTCTCACTACACCAGACTAGAGGTGACATTGACACAGACAGGGTGGGAGGGAATTGTACCAGCTAGTGGTCAGACAAGGATCTGGGAAACCCAGGTTCAAAACACCACTATGCCATGGAAGCTTGCTGGGTGACCTTGGACCAGGCACTTTCTTTTAGCCCGGTCTACCTCACAGCGTTGCTATTCTGAGGATAAAATGAAAGAGGGGAGTGTAAAGTGTATGCTGTTTTGGGATTCCATTGGAGAGAAAAGCAGGGTATCAACAAACAAACAAACAAACAAACCCAGTATGTCAGAACTGGTTTACCACCAATTCACTATGAAGCATGTGTACAGGTGGAGATTCAAAATGCAGCATGGGTGCAAGGGGCAAGTATTTGGTCCACCTCCACTCCTCTGAAATAGCTCACTCCCTGCTATTTTCTCATGGATGAGCTCACAAATCAGAAATTACCTCCAGCAGAAGAAAAATGGCTGGGGAGAAGCTGGCTGTGGGACAAGAGATGCCCCCTCCCAGTGATTGTTAATGTCTGTTGCTGTGCTTTTCTGGCAACTACACCTGGTATGGGATCTCTATCCACTGGGCCTGCTACAACCCCTAAGGAAATAGCAGCAGCTGTGGGTTTGTTCCACCAAGCCCTCTGGTAGTTCTGCAAAGAGGAAGAGGAGCACTTTGGGGACATTGCAGCCCCCATTTTTCTGCCTTAAATTAATCAGGGAACCCCCCCCCCTTTGCTGTATTATGTGAGACTGCTGGGTACATACTTAATAATATGTTCTATAATAGCATGTTTGTTTCCATCAAAGGATAAAACTAAATTATTTAGCTTGTTTTACCAAGACTGCATGAATTGTTCGGGAGATATAAATCTTGAAGAAGGAACTGCTTCAGTTTTTATGTGAACAATCATCATAACAGAAGATCAACAGAAAATATATATAACGTACTTGCTCTGAAGACCCTCAGTGCCAATCCCACCAAGACTGCTTAGGCAGACTACATCCTATTCAACATTCTGTGTTTGGGATATTTGCACAGGATTATCACAATTACATTATTTCTGCCCAAGCCTGACTTCCCTGGGGTCTATTTTTGGGTTAATTTATAAATGTTGCACGGTTTGGGAGACAACTGAGAAATTATTATGAGTATGAGGTGATTGCATGAATTTATGGGTGACTGTATGAAAGAGCAGATATGAATCTACTGCCATTCATCCAAAAATTCATCATAAATTTCAGTTTCCAAACTGCACCTCACTGCACATGATTTTAACTCACTGCATGAATCAGTGCTGCACAGTTACTATATTTATCAGAAAGGAAGATGGTACCCCTGGGGGAAAATAAACTACTCTTTCTTTCAGGTATAGTTTCTGTGCTTTGGGAAATGCTCAGATGTGTGGACTAGTGTCCATGGACGTGGTTGAAGTACACAAAACTGATCTGGGTAAACCATCAGCTTTGATATTGTCCTGGAATTTGAGCTGATAGATAACCACTTGGAGTTTATCTAAATTTTCCGTGTTTGGGATTGGTTATACTTTAAATAGAACCAAACATTTTAGAAAAGAATGAGCTATGTTGAATCTCCCCAGTTTTAAGTGGGGGCATTTGATGAAATCCGATCTTCAAGTGTAAGCACTTGGGAGGGGGGGAGTTTTACATGGATGTGATATGTGGATTTGATGTGGTTCAATTGTTCAAAACACACAAAATATGCAAAGGAAGACAGACTTCCTATTGAGATTTGAATGCCTAGTTTTGGAATTTTAATTTTATCATTGAATGTTTTGGATTCTGAAATGTTGCATTCAGTTGACTTTTTTATATTACTACAACTACTTCATGACAATAATTGTCATTGGTGCCTTTCCCAAGTCTGGACCAAGTCACTGAGTTTCAAATGCCTTATTACGGGAGAGGAGAACTATGTATGGCATTCTGAGCTGTCTGGAGGAAGGCCAGGATAGACAGACAAAGATAATTTGACTGCAAATGAGAATAAATGCTCTAGAATGGTTAATATTTAGCATTTCATACATACTCAGGAATGGACTACCAAAGGAATCTACTTCTGAAATGAGGCAATAGCTAGTAACAAGGTTACTAAAATGCCCTCTTTGTGTTCCCTTAATTACACAGTATAGAATAAATTGCTTTCCCTTGAAAGAGTAACTTTATAATCCAGATACAGACATCTTTGAAACAATGAACAATTCTGTTATTGCTTGCATTGCTTTAATATATAGCAGGGCTTTACCTATTGATCCAGACCTTTAGCTATAAAATAATTACTCTTCTCTTTACAGTTTCTGCTTTGTGGAGCATGTGGAATACTGTGTGCCAAGAAAAAATCAGGACTTGTCGTAAGTTTTCACATGACTTGCAATACATATCAGGGTGGGTGAAATGCAAACTGTTGAGCATTTTGAACTCTTTAGTGCTGGATCATCACTATTTATCTTCACAGTGGGGTAGGGTGTACGTTTTGCCCTAGCATACCCCACAGTGGGTTCAGAAAATGGATAGGGCAGTCTACGCAGTCTACACTGGTCCTGTCATAATCCATTCTGGCCATGTGGAATGGTGGGGAGTGTAGACTGAACTCTTCCTATCCTTGTGGGACCAGAAGTATGAAAACCACACAAACAAGCCAGTTCTCTGGCTACAAACTGAAAATAATAAATAAATACAAATTGAAAATAATAAATAAAAATAAATAAATGACACATCCTCTTCCCAAATAGCCTATTCTAATGAAGGCAACTTGACCACACTTTGCCTTCACCTTCCACCAATCATCACATAGTTTTTAATTGGTAGCCTCCCCCCACAACAAAGGATCTGTCCTTAATTACTTCCACCATTGAAACAATCCCATTCAATATATGTTAGCAAGCTTGGTGAGTCCATAATTATACGGACCAAACCAAACACCTATTTGGAATCTTGGGTGATACAATTATGGGAGAGGACTACACCATATTTAGAACTTCATGTATGAATCAGCCTTGGGCTGGTCACTACAGGTATCTGCCCAAATGACCAAGCTACAGTGATCCTTCTGTGGTGGCCTGCTGTTGTGACCAGGTGAACAAAGTAGCTGATAATTCAACATAATGCTTAGCATCACCTTTTAAAACATTGTTCATACATGTTCAACATCTCTGTCATTTCTCCTCCAGATGATAACCTTGTGCAAATGCAATCTTTCTTATCTCCTCCCAGATGATCCTTTTCTCAGCCTGCTGTATCTGTGGACTCATTGGAGGAATATTAAACTTTCAGTTCCTTCGCGCACTGACCAAGAAATCCTCGGCTCTCTATTCATTGCATGTTACATCCATGTCCCTGGCATGCATTGGGATTGGGGGCTGCACCCTTTCTTCATGGCTCACTTGCCGGCTTGCCAGCTATGAGCAAAGGCGAATGTTTTCAGAAAGAGAGCATTCACTGCATCACTCCCATGAAATGGCTGACAAGGTAAGTTGGGAATATTTCCTGATTTGTTGTGTTTCTCCCCAAACAACTCAAGTGTTCTAATATATTCCAGTGGCAGTTGGGGGATTCAATTTTCAGATATAACAGGGAAATGAAATACTGCTCTGCTGTATATGTTCCATTCTGTTATAGAAAGCTATTTTTAGGAACTGTATCTTTTTGCAGTACACCCATTTCAACAAAATACATCCATTGTCTGCATTGTTCCATTGTATAACTTCTCTAAGCGCTTTGCCACTAAATATAGAGCTTCATAAAGAAGGAAAGGCCGTTTAATTAATGGGCCTTTCTCAATATGCCTCATTGCATGAAAATATTAAATTCCTTTCTGTCCTCTGCAAAACTGTTTGCAAATCAGGGACTTATTCACAGATTCAAATTATACAGAAAGTCAAGTGACACAATCAGCAGTGTTATCTATTGCTGGATTGTACAGCTTCATACTGCAAGCAGAGGAATAAGGGGTAGGCAATATCTGTTGTTTTCCATTTTTGGATCATTTCATCTTGCTTCCATACATTTTGTTTTTTTAGAATTTTATATAACCATTACATTCATTCATTTCTCCCCACTGATTTTAATGGGAGACAGATTTTAAAAGGAAACACATACAAAACCTGTAACTTCATACTTGCCATCGGGATTGGGTGAAATGCTCAGGGATCAAATCTCTCACCAAATTAATCTTTCACTGCCAAATCACAGCCATAGAAGAAAGGCTCAATTTTTTAACACAGTGATTGTCTTTTAATGACAAAATTGAGTTGAAGCTCTCAGGAACTAAGTTGGTGAAAGTGTCCCTGTTTGATAGGCAATTACAGCTTCTTACTAGTGGGAGTAAGACCATCACCTGTCAAACAAATCCTTACCCTTTCTGTCTCATTCAACCTTGCCAGGAAAATATTCACTTTACCATGGTTAGGATCATTAATACGTCTCTGCTGGAAGGAAATGTTCTCAGACCCCATTAAAGAGATAGTAGTGAGGCCTTTATTGAAAAAGCCATGTCTGGCAAAGGATAAATCAGCCAGTTATAGGACAGTGTCAAATTTGCCTGAATACTTCTGCATGGGTCGGCATATTTTTGCTACTGATCCTATTAGACCCAATTAGATCTTTTGGCTGCTTCTGATGTGAAGGCTCATTCCATTCTATCACATTGATGGGAAAGTGGGAGTGTAGATACAGCAATCCAATAGTTTTGGTCTTTTAAACAAAGAATACTTCCATCAGAGACACAGAATCAGTTGCATGGCCTATTAAATGTAGTGTTCTGCAAAGCTATATACCCATGTTGTTTAACATCTATTATGGGCAGCTCAGTGAGATAATCAGGAGTCATCAATATGCTGATGCCATCCTGCTCTATATTTCACTAACTTACTGGGTTCGTTCAGCCAACAGGAACATGAGGCCTTGTGTTAAAGCAATTGCATTGCCTACTGATTTGTTTCTAGGTTCAGTCCAAGATGCTCACCTTGAAACTCTTCACAATTTAGGACCCTCATATCTGAAGGGCTGGCTCACCATGTATGAGCTCATGCACCCCTTTCAGTCTGCACATCATACCCTGATAAGTGCCCATTTCTCAAGGCTAGTTGGATCTCTTCTTGGAAAAAAAATCAGGTCTTCCTGCAGCTGCTCCCTATTTCTGGAATGGCCTCCTGGAGGTTGTGCATCAGTCTCTGCCCTTTCCTGGCTTTTAGAAAGGTTGTGGTATATAATTTTTTTTAGCAAACAAATGTCTAGCCCTCTCTAAGAAAGCAGGCACAGTTACACTGTGAATAGAGGGATGCATCTGGAACTCCAAGAAGGCAGTCAGGAGAACAGACAACCAGATAGTGGCTTTCATTTGTCACCCTAAGGCTGCATTGACACAGGCAATTTGATCCGTTCCCCTTGCTGTTCCCTTATGGATTTAAAGTGCACGATCAGACAGCAACATCTGTCTGTCATGCCTGAGTCATCTGAGTTCCATTCCCCCCTCCCCTTGCCCCGTGTTTCTTTGATACCCGATAAAGTCAGGTTCTGTTGGTCTGAGCCACTTCAAAAATGGATTTCCTGTCGTCTTGTCACTCTGTTGCGCAGCCAAGCAGTCAGGCAGGTCTCACTGAGCTCTTGCTTTCCGGCCACCATCCCCCCCCCCAGTTAGCGAGGATCGCATGACTGTATATATGCACCTCTCCCCCCCGGGGGGGGGGCGCTCAAAACCTCATTTTCATTTGAAAAATTCTTAAAGAAAGACACCCCTTTTTTCTGCAGCTTTTTAATATTGTTTGGGGAAGGGGTAAACGGAAAAGATTAGAGGGAGGATAGCAGTGGACTCCATTTCCCAGCAGTCTCTTCACCACTTGTGCGATTGCTCTGTGGACTTAATTTGAAAAGAAAATGGCCGACAGCCCCATGAACTCCATATCCCAGCATACTGAGTGCTTCTGGGCATGCTCCTAAGGGCAAACTTAAAAAAAAAATGGCTGACGGGCTGACTCCCCGGTTTCTGTCATCTGGTCATGCAAGGAGGGGTAAAACGGCATTGAAGCGTGCTAAAATGGGTGAGTCTGGTCAGGATTCTCTGCCACAAAATAACCTGGCTTAATTTGAGGTGGGGCAACAGTGGATTAAACTGCCCGTGTGAACGCAGCCTAAGAAAGGCAGGCAGCACAGTAGAACATCTACTGAGGTTTGCGTTTTTGCACCCATAAAAGGGCAGGCAGAGGTACACCACATGCATAGAAGCCAGAGCATGGTAATATGTATTAAGACATATCTGGGGTTCGTTTTCCTATTTGCATTAATGATAGTAACACATCGGACATTTTTGTGAGGGGGGTTCATTAGACAATTTTTTAAAAATACACAGGGCTAGTGGGGATTCAAAAGGGTTGAATGCCTTCCCTGCATCCCCTAAATATATTAGCTTTTCAGGGAGAAGATTCTAACGACATTTCTTTCCTGACATGGCAGATTTGAATGTGGGATGTCTGTAAGCAGTGGGATCATTGAAGCATCTGGTCCCAGTCTTCTCACAATCTGACAAAGTTCAGTCCAGGACAGACGTATTGCTAAATCCTTAGCTTACAACAAAGTCCTCTTTATATGTTTTGATACTGATGTAGCATCATGCATATACATATGTTTCTGGTTCTTTGTTTCTGGTTATTTATAACTGTTATATTTATATTAGAGATTGAGGGGGATTGAAATAACCGACCTGCCCAGCTGCCCGGTGGTTCCCCCGACACCAGAGTTGCCTCCCAGGTAGGCTGAATGCTAGTTGGGAGTGACGATGTTTTTATGTTGTCACCCTAAATAGTTCTGCTTTTCAGACAAATACATAATCAGATCTTGGTCGATGATTTGAGCACACCCCAGAATTCTTCATTTGTGAATAGCGTTTAAAACTCTACACAATGAGGTGCTAACGTCTGGAAGTTTGTTCTTCAGTTAAAATATTGCTCCAGGTTGTAAGCATCCAGATGGTCTCTGTTGGATGTGCCCATGATCTAAAGTTACACCTTCTTTATTAGCTCTTTCATGCCTTAGGCACACTGGTTAGATCCAAGGATTCCCTTCCCCTTGCTCCACTGGAGGAAAACATAGAGGAAAGGAATTCTCTGATCTTGGTGCATAAACTATGGCTATAGTGTCATGAATAACAATTAAAATTCAAGAAATGACCACAAACATTAATAACTGAATGGGGAGTACAATTCAAATAATTACATTTATGCCAATGATTAATAAGAACAATCTGAAAATTTAATTTTTTGCTCACTAGCCGACAAAGGCAGTAAAACTATGGTTAAATGTTAGATTGAACTTTTCTTACCATCCTTAATTTGTCCATCTTCATAGTATTCATGTGAAGTAGGCTATTAGGAGTTTGTTTACATAATCTGATCATGAAATAACAAATTTTAATCTCACGTCAAACCTGGATTTGTTTAAATAATGAGAAGGCATACCTGAGGCTGAAACAAGAAAGGGAATGAATATCTGGATTATCAAGAGCCATTTTCCTTCCTGTGGCTTAGTGTGGTGATGAACTATAACATAGTTGGTACCCATGAGCAGAGCAAAATCATTGTGACCTGAAGCTGACCCAAGGAAGAGCATAAGAGTGTCAGGCTAAAATACTCCAGTAGAATTCTTAGAACTAGAAATGGTGGGGGGAAATATCTAATTTTGTGTAACAGTCCTGAATTTCCAGCTATGGCTACACCCTCTGTTATCTCTCTCTTTGATTATGTAAACAAGCTCTATGATTACAATTTTACAAATGGGAAAATGTAAGCTGAGATAGTGATTTGGGAGGCCAAAGAATTCTTTAGCCCTCCTCCAATGTTTGTTTGACTGCATAATATTGGCTTTCATAAGCAACATCTCACTCTGTTTCCCAGCAGACAGGTATCTTCTTCACCAAACCTCCCCTTCAATCGACATTATCTGGCACCTTTTCTGGAAATCCTAGCAGAGACCAAGGTACAAGTGTCTGTTGAAACTGAACTGCCATCTCTTTCATGATTAGAACATATGCAAAATATCTTCCTCAAGACATTTCAAATGGCAAGGCTAGGACTAGACTTGCAAGGAAGAGTTGCTTAGGGAAACCATTTCTAGAATGGCTTGTGGTGGGTGAGGGCTTTTCATTAGCTGTACTGCCTGTGTTCAAGTGTTGTCTGGTGTTGAGGAACAGAGGGCCAGATGCTGTGTAGAGACATGAAGCAACCAGGGAAGGGATCCCAGCAGAAGTGGGAATGAGAGCCCAACTTTGGGGTGAGATCCATGTCGGTGAGCAGCAGCAACCTGTCATAACCTGGAGAGAATCCGCAGCATAAGAACCACCATGAAGGGAGAAAGTCAAGTAAAAGCTCCAGTGAGAAACACAGGAATGCAAGGAAAGACTTGATAAGTCTTGACAAGCCATTGAGAGCACCTAACAGGCCATCCAACCTTCAGATCTGGTGCAGGGCTGTATGGGATGGTCTAATTTAACATTCTGCCTGTATGCTGGAATAGCTAAGGTTGGCACTGGTACAGAAGCTTCTGCTGCTCTTGTAACACACTTTCATTTTGTTTGCCTCTAGAGCTCTCATGCAATCGCCATTTATGATAACCAGCATCACATCATAGTGTAGGTGTCTAAACATATAGACCCTTCCCCTAATGCTGGGCAATGTAAAAGACTTGCCAAGGCTTTCCCCTGCAGATGACTAAACCCCACACTGCTGCCATGGGGTTATTGTGTGTGTGTGTGTGTGTGCGCGCGCATGGGGGCTATTTCTCAAAGGAAAGCAACAATGAGCTGAATCCAGGCTGCAGACCTTACATTGCTTAAAACTTGTAATTAGCTATGTATCAAAGTGACACAAAATCCCATTTAATTTTAATCAGTGATTTCAATTCTTACAGGAAATGACAGGCAACACGAGCAATGGAGGACCACATTTAATTTATAATGGAAGAGCATACTGAAAGATTCACTATGTTCATGGGACAACTATTTTCAGGATAATCCTCATAGGGAAAACATGTAGATGCCACAACTTGGAAAGAAGGCATGGGATTGAATCTTTGCTTTGATCTGCAACAATTTCACAGTTTTAAAAACGGCACGGTGGCACTCCTTTCAGTTGGTTCTTTGCATTTCCTCCTCCATATTCTGGAGATGTATTTTACTGCATATTTGGAAGATAAGCAGAAATTATCACTTCCCTAAAAAAAATTTTTTGGGTCTGAATAATTTTTCATAGTTCTTTGGAACTACTTGAAACGGACTTTGTGGACTATTCCTCTCTTGATGATTTTTAGAAACCCTTGGCCTACACATGACAACGGAGAGGGTTCAAATGCCGGATTGCACAATGGTAGGAGTGAAAGTCTTGCCTTTCAGACACAGAGACAAATGAATGAATTATGAGCATGCTGCAGTCACGCTGATGTCTTTGTTTTGAAAGACAGAATGCTTTAAGGATGCCATATGTCAAAACTTGAACAATGCCTTGCTGTAAAGAAACTGTAAATATTTAAAAAGAAACTGTAAATATTTCCAATTTGTGAAGTATATTTCATAACTTGTTCATAAAAGATGTCAAATAAAATGAAACCTTGCAAAAATGCAATGGCTTCTATTGCAATCATTTTAGATCAATGAGCACGCAAGAATAAATACCTCGATTCTGGCAGGCCTGTCCTCTCTGTGGGGGCTCAGAAGGCAGGGTTCTTCCTTCCAGGACACCATAATCCCAACATATAGAAGTAAACAAAATGCAAAAAAATACAGCACAATATAATATGATTAATCAAACAAAAATGTAGGGCTCTTTTTGTAGCAGGAACTCCTTTGCATATTAGGTGACACCAGAGGTCATTTCGGGGGGGAACGTGGGGGATCACAGTTTCCCTGGGTGAGGTGCGGGGGGTGGGGCACACGATGAAGCCCTGCTCCCTGCTTCCGGCCGCCCCGCTTCCAGCCCTCATTCAGCCAGGAGGAGGCAGGAGAAGAGGGAGGGTAAGTTGCTTCCTCCCCACCTCTCCCCACCCCTGCCTGCCTGGCGGGGCTTCCTCGCACTCCTGCCGGCCTTGCAGGTCCACCAGGGGGTGTGGCATATGCTAATGAGTTATGCTAATGAGTTCCCCTAGCTCTTTTTCTACGAAACGACTCCTGGGTGACACACCCCTAATGTAGCCAATCCTCCAAGGGCTTACAGAGCTCTTCTTACAGGGGCTACTGTAAGCTCTTGGAGGATTGCCTACAAAATAGCAACATTAAAGATGAATATACTCCCTAGATTCCTGTTCTTAGCCCAAAATATCCCTGTGTTAAAAAATCTGAAACTTCTAGCAGAATTAGATAAATTGACGAGAAAGTTTATTTGGCATCCTAAAAAATCTAGAATAAAGTGGAAGGTGCTACAAGATAGAGGGGGAATGAATGTACCGAATTGGAAGTTATACTAACAGGCGGCAGCGCTTATGTGGGTTAGGGAATGGATAACCCTGGAAGATAGTAGAACACTGTCATTAGAAGGCCACGACTTATACATGGGGTGGCATTCTTACATCTGGTATAACAAAGATAAAGTGCATTCTATATTTAATCAGCATATATTAAGATGAGCTTTAAACAAGGTCTGGAATGAGATAAAAGAAAAATGTTATAGGAAAACTGCTAGATGGGTAGCACCGTTAGAGTCCTTTGTAGTACCATCGCTTTTGGTAAAGGAGAAAACGGCCAGTTATAACATATTATTAGAAAAGAATGACATACTAAAAACAGAAGAGAAACTAAAGAAGGATCATCAAATCTTGCTAACATGGTGGGAGTGCTCTCTTCTACAAGATAGATATGGTAAAGACAAAATAAGGGGTTTTGAAGATACAAACAATCAGCTGGATAAAATATGGTGTCATCCAGTGATAAATTAATACAAAAATTATATAGATTTTTGTTGGAAGACTATGAACTGGATGAAAATGTTAAATCAGTTATGATATCATGGATGCAAGATATGGGCAAACAGGTAGAAGATGATCAATGGGATTCTATATGGCATTCCACCAAGTTTATGAGAGCTGTTGCATACAAATAAAACTTCTATAAAATGTATCACAGATGGTATTGGTCCCCAGATAAAATTGCAAAATGTTATCCTCAAGCTTCCAACAGATGTTGGAAATGTAAAAAAAATGTGGGGACGTTTTATCATATGTGGTGGAGCTGCTGTAAAATACGTAAGTTCTGGAAAATGGTGCAAAAAATTATTTGGGAAATATTGAATATAGAGATCGAATTTTCGCCTGAACTGTATCTATTGAATATAATCCCGAGAGGATATAAAAAACATGATAAATATTTGATAGCGTATATAGTAACTGCGGCTCGTATCTTGATGGCAAGAAATTGGAAGACAGATAAAGTTCCCACAAAAGGGGAATTAAAAACTAAACTTACTGAATTAGCACAAATGGATAATTTGAGTTTAGTATTACAAAATAAAGACCAAAGATGTTATGAAAAAGGTGGTTTAGGGTATACGAATGGTTAGATCGTCAAATGGATTGATAAGGATACATACTGTTTGTTATAATGTGTTAAGACGAAAATACGAATTGTCAACTCTAAAGATTTGTGTAATCTAATCTGAGAAAGTGAACAAGCATGTAGACAATGGTGAACCGCGAGACATTATATATCTGGTTTTTCAAAAGGCTTTTGACAAGGTACCTCACCAGAGACTCCTGAGTAAAGTTAGCAGTCATGGGATAAGAGGATGGGTTTTCTTATGGATTAAAAGCTGGTTAAATGGCAGGAAGCAAAGAGTAGGAATCAATGGACAGTTCTGACAATAGAGGGAAGTAAGCAGTAGGGTCCCACAAGGATCGGTATTGGGGCCGGTAATATTTAATTTATGCATGAATGATCTGGAACTAGAGGTGAGCAGTGCAGCGGCCAAGTTTGCAGATAACACCATTCAGGACAATGAAAACCAGGGCTGACTGTGAAGAGCTCCAGAGGACCTCTACAAACTGGGTGAGTGGGTGACAATGTGGTGAGTGAAGTTCAGTGTTGGTAAGTGTAAGGTGATGCATACTGGGATAAAAAATCCCAACTTCAATTTTAGGCTAATGGGATCTGAGACTGAGAGGGGAAAAGATCTCTAGGTCAGGGGTGGCCAAACTTGCTTAACATAAGAGCCACAAAGAATAAACATCAGATGTTTGAGAGCCACAAGACACTAACAAATATTACACAGCTTTTTATTGAAAAATATGTAAATTTGCTTTTTATTAACATTAAATGAGACTGAGCCACAGAATATGTGTGAAAAAGCTGCATATGGCTCCCAAGCCGCAGTTTGGCCACCCCTGCTCTAGGTTGTAGTGGATAGCTCATGAAAGTGTTAACCCAGTTTGCTGCAGCGGAGAAAAAAAGCAAACTCTCTGTTGGGGATTATTAGCAAAGGTATTGAGAATAAAATGGCCGACATCATAACGCCCTTGTATAGATCTATTGTGCAGCCTCATTTGGAATACTGTGTACAGTTCTGGTCACCGTATCTCCAAAAGGACATTGCAGAGCTGGAAAAAGTACAAAGGAAAGCAACCAAGATGATTGGGGCGTTGTAGCACCTTCCCTAGGAGGAAAGGCTGAAGAGTCAGGGACTTTTCAGTTCAGAAAAGAGATGACCGGGGGGGACGGGGGACATAATAGAGGTTTATCAAATTATGGATGGGGTGGAGAGACCTGGCAATTTTTTTCTTTTTCTCCCAAAATACTAGAATTTGAGGGCATCCAATGAAGCTGATGGGCAGTAGGTTATTGACAGACAAAAGGAAATACTACTTTACACAGAGAGTGTTTAAAATGTGGAATTCGCTGCCAGAGGATGTAGTGATAACCACAGGAACAAACAGCTTTAAAAGGGGATTAGATTATTTTCATGAATCTATCAATGGCTAGTAGCCATGGTGACTGAGGAGAACTTCCACATTCAGAGGCACTAAGGACTAAGCCTCTGAATCCTAGAGCCAGGAGGCAACATCAGGGAAAGCCTCAGCTTCTATGGCCTGTTGTTGGCTGTCCAGAGGAACCGGTTGGCCACTCTGTGAGACAGGATGCTGGACTAGATGGACTATTGGTCTGATGCAGCAGGGCTCATTTTATGTTCTTATTAATCTCAACTGCATAAAACTAGGCAGATTTCAGTAGAGAAAGGGAATGAAAGAGTTGTGCAATGGCTTCAGAGAGGAAGTGGGCTTCTAAGAAGGGATTTGGAAGATGTAAGAGAAGAGGCATCATGCAGGTTTTCTGGGAGACACTTCTAGGCAAAGGAAGTGGGAAGGAAGAGAGGAATTGCCTGAGGAGACCAGATGGCTGAGCAGATGCTGGAGCTAGAGAACCAAAAGTCATGGGTAGAAATATATTAGGGTATGATGAGATCACAGAGATAAGAAGGTGAAGACCATGGACCTGAAGGGGAAGACCATGGACCTGAAGATGAGGACAAGGTGCTAGATCTGGTAGTGGCAGGCAACTCATGTTAGGGTTCATAGAAGGGTGTTATATGGCCAGAATGATAGTGGTAAATTAGTAGACTGGGCCCCAAAGGCAGGTATTTAATATTCAGATTGGTTTTATTCTTCTTAAACCGAAATTTACAATGCAGTAGTATATACCATTGTTCCTGGAAATAATTCAAAGATGTCCATAAATCCTGTGTCCCAGATCATAGGAAGTTCTTAACCCAAGCAGAGCCTAAGTGCTATGCACAAGGTAAAAGTACATTATGATCTTCCTATCTGATCCCCAGTAATATTATTCCAAGATGTTAGCAGCAGTTGATATCTTTTCATCTTGGTGAGAGCATTTTTGTGGAAAAGCAATGTGTAGTCTTGTCCTCAGGGCAGGTTTTCTATTTGACTTACTGAGGTAAGCCCTCTTGTTTGATGGCTGCTCTACACTTTCTGAGTTA